CCAGGTGGTCGGTTGGTGGTATGGGTTGATCATTATGATGTCAGGCAGTGGTGTTGGTACGAGTTTAGGACCAAAATGGGTTTACAATAGGTGTACGGCTTCCAGGTGGTCGGTTGGTGGTACAGGCTGATCATTACTATGTCAGGTAGGGTGTTGGTATGGGTATAGGACCATAATGGGTTTATAATAGGTGCATGGTTTCCAGGTGGTCGGTTGGTGGTACGGGTTGATTATTACTATGTCAGGTAGGGTTGTTAGTACGGGTTTAGGACCAAAATGGATTTATAATAGGTGTATAGGTTCTAGTTGGTTGGTTGGTGGTTCGGTTGATCATTACTAAGTCTGACAGGGTGTTGGTATGGGTTTAGGACCAAAATGGGTTTATTATCGGTGTATGGGTTCTAGGTTGTCATTGGTGGTTCGGTGGATCATTAATATCTCAGGTAGGGGTGTTGGTACGGGTTAAGGACCAAAATGGTTTTATAATAGGTGTGTGGGTTTCAGGTGGTCGATTGGTTGTACGGGTTGATTATTACTATGTCAAGAAGGAGTGTTGGTACAGGTTTAGGACCAAAATGGGTTTATAGTAGGTGTATGGGTTCCAGGTTGTCGGTTGTTGGTACAGTTTGATCATTATTATGTCAGGTAGGGGTGTTGGTATGGGTTTAGGACCACAATGGTTTTATAATAGGTGTATGGGTTCCAGGTGGTCGTCTGGTGGTACGGGTTGATCATTACCATGTTAGGTAGGGGTTTTGGTATGGGTTTAGGTCCATAATGGGTTTATAATAGGTGTATGGTTTCTAGGAGGTTGGTTGTTGGTACGATTTGATCATTACTATGTCAGGTAGGGGTGTTGGTTAATATTTTGCGCCAAAATGGGTTTATAATAGGTGTATAGGTTTCAGGTTGTCGGTTTATTGTACGCGTTGATCATTACTATGTCAGGTAGGGGTGTTGGTTCGGATTTAGGACCAAAATGGGTTTATAATAGGTGTATGGGTTTCAGGTTGTCGTTGGTGGTTTGGTGGATCATTACTATGTCGGGTAGGGGTGCTGGTCTGTGTTTATGACCAAAATGAGTTTATAATAAATGTACGGGTTCAAGGTGGTCGGTTGGTGTACGGGTTGATCATTAATATGCCAAGTAGGGGTGTTGGTACGGATTTAGGACAAAAATGGGTTTATAATAGGTGTATGGGTTTCATGTGGTCGGTTGGTGGTACGGGTTGATCATTACTATTTCAGGTAGCGGTGCTGATACAGGTTTAGGACCGAAATGGGTTTATTATAGGTGTATGGGTTCCAGGTGGTCGGTTGTTGGTACGGTGTTATCATTATTATGTCAGGTAGGGGTGTTGGTACAGGTTTAGGACCAAAATGGGTTTATAATAGGTGTATGGGTTTCAGGTGGTCAGTTAGTGGTACTGGTTGATCATTACTATGTAATGTAAGGGTGTTGGTGTGGGGTTAGGACAAAACTAGGTTATAATAGGTATATGGGTTCCAGTGGTCGGTTGGTGGTATGGGTTGATCATTACTATGCCAGGTAGGGGTTTTGGTTCAGGTTTAGGACCAAAATGGGTTTATAATAGGTTTATGGTTCCTGGTGGTTGGTTGGTGGTACAGTTTGATCATTACTATGTCAGGTAGGGGTGTTGGTTCGGGTTTAGTACCAAAATGTTTTTATAATAGGGGTATGGGTTCCAGGTTGTTGGTTGGTGGTACGAGTTGATCATTGATATGTTAGGTAGGGGTGTTGGTATGAATTTAGGATCAAAATGGGTTTTTATTAGGTGTATGGGTTCCAGGTAGTCGGTTGGTGGTACGGGATGATCATTACTATGTCTGGTACGGGTTTCGGTACGAGTTTACGACCAAAATGGGTTTTTAATAGGTGTATGGGTTTCAGGTGGTTTGTTGGTGGTACAGGTTTATCATTACTATGTCAGGTAAGGGTGTTGATATTGGTTTAGAACCAAAATGGGTTTATAATAGGTGTATGGGTTCCAGGTGGTCGGATGGTGGTACGGGTTGATCATTACTTTGTCAGGTAGGGGTGTTGGTATGAGTTTAGGACCAAAATGGGTTTATAATAGGTGTATGCGTTCCAGGTGGTCTATTGGTTGTACGGTATTACCATTACAATGTTAGGCAGGGGTTTTGGTGTGGGTTTAGGACCATAATGGGTTTATAATAGGTGTATGGTTTCCAGGTGGTCGGTTGTTGGTACGGGTTGATCATTACAGTGTCAAGTAGGGGTGTTGGTTCGGGTTTAGGGCCAAAATGGGTTTATAATAGGTGTACGGGTTCCGGGTGGTCGGTGGAGGTACTAGTTGATCATTACTATGTCAGTTAGGGGTTTTGGTTCAGGTTTAGGCCCAAAATGGGTTTATAGGTTTATGGGTTCCAGGTGGTTGGTTGGTGGTACAGTTGATCATACTAAGTCAGGTAGGGGTGTTCGTACGGGTTTAGTACCAAAATGGGTTTATAATAAGTGTGTGGGTTCGAGGTGGTCGGTTGGTGGTACGGGTTGATCATTACTATTTCACGTAGGGGTGTTGGTACGTGTTTATCACCAAAATGATTTTATAATAGGTGTACGGGTTTCAGGTGGTCGGTTGGTGGTACGGGTTGATCATTACTATGTCAGGTAGGCGTGTCGGTATGGGTTTAGGACCATAATGGGTTTATAGTAGGTGTATGGGTTCCAGATGGTCGGTTGTTGGATTGGGTATAGGACCAAAATTGATTTATACTAGGTGTATGGGTTTCAGGTGGCCAGTTGGTGGTAATGGGTGATCATTACTATGTCGGGTAGGGTTGTTGGTATGGTTTAGTACCACAATTGGTTTATAATGGTTGTATGGGTTCCAGTTGGTCGGTTGATGGTACGGGTTGATCATTAATATGTCAAGTAGGGGTGTTGGTTCGGGTTTAGGACCACAATGGGTTTATAATATGTGTATGGGTTCCAGGTGGTCGGTTTGTGGTACGGGCTGATCAGTACTATGTCAAATAGGGGTGTTGGTTCGTGGACCAAAATGGGTTTATAATAGGTGTATGGGTTCCAGGTTGTCGGTTGGTGGTACGGGTTGATCATTACTATGCCAAGTAGGGGTGGTGGTATGGCTTTAGGACCAAAATGGGTTTATAATAGGTGTATAGGTTTTAGGTAGTCAGTTGGTGTTACACGTTGATCATTATTATGTTAGGTAGGGGTGTTGGTTGGGATTTAGGACCAAAATGGGTTTATAATATGTGTATGGGTTCCAGGTGGTCGGGTGGTGGTGCGGGTTGATCATTACTATGTCAGGTAGGGTTGTCGATATGTGTTTAGGACCAAAATGGGTTTATAATAGGTGTTTATGTTTTAGGTGGTCGGTTGGTGGTATAGGTTGATCATTACTATGTTAGGTGGGGTTGCTGGTATGGGTTTAGGACCAAAATGGGTTTATAATAGGGGGTTCCAGGTGGTCATTTGGTGGTACGGGTTGATCATTACAATGTCAGGTAGCGTTGTTTGTTCGGGTTTAGGACCAAATAGGGTTTATAATTGGTGTATGGGTTCCAGGTGGTCAGTTGGTGGTACAGGTTGATCATTACTATGTCAGGTAGGGGTGTTGGCTCGGGTTTAGGACCAAAATTGGTTTATAATAGGTGTATGGGTTCCAGGTGGTCGATTGATGGTATGGGTTGATCATTACTATGTCAGGTAGGGGTCTTGGTATGGTTTTATGACCAAAATAGGGTTATAATAGGTGTATGGGTTCCAGGTGGTCGGTTGTTGGTATGGATCGATCATCACTATGTCTGGTAGGGTTGTTGGTATGGGTTTAGGACCAAAAAAGGTTTATAATTTGTGTATGGGTTTCAGGTGGTCGGTTGGTGGTATGGGTTGATCATTACTATGTCAGTTAGGGGTGTTGGTATGGGTTTAGTACCAAAATGGGTTTATAATAGGTGTATGGGTTTCAGGTGGTCGGTTGGTGGTACGGATTGATCATTACTATGTCAAGTAGGGGTGTTGGTACGGGTTTAGGACCAAAATGGGTTTATAATAAGTGTATGGTTTTTTTTCTTACTTAATATAAAATAAACTAAAAAATATTAACAAAGTGCTTATACGGAAGAATAAATGTTAGTAAGCAACGTGTGTAGTACAATTGGGTAAATTAATGGTATATATATAGGGCATATAAATGATTATGAAAAATTTGTAAGCTAACTAGAACTTATTCTTATTTTCGTTTTATTATACTATTTTCCAATTGTATATGCATAATTAAATGTTAAATATTTTTTAGATCCAATAGTCATATAGTTGTATCGTAACGTAAAATTGTTAATTTACAAGGACCAAATTTGTAATATATCTATTAATATCAAATAACTCATAATAATGTTTCAAAAGCCATAACATGTTTCCAAACCACGATTTATGCTTCTCATCATGTGGGATCACTATCAGATAAAAATTTGGAAAACATTTGAAATCGTCCAACAAAATTAAGCAAATATAATAGGAGGCAAACATTTTTTCCATTTTGTTTTGGGCTCCAAATCAAGGCGGGAATTATTCATCTATCTCACCGCCAAAACTATGAAGATCAATCCATCTAATCAAGGAAATTCTGGTAAATTTTGGTAACAAACCTCAACTTAGGAGGTACTAACATTGTAATATTTAAAAGACCTTGATTTTTTCAACCATTGTATCGTTTTTCTATAGGTTATATCCCAGTTGGATTATAATTCAGTTCATCAATTGACAACATTCATCACACATTTATACTGTAAGTATATTCACGGTTATGGTGTCAATGTTATTGATTGTATTGAATAGGGGATTATACATAAAACATAAAATTTTTATTCTTCATATTACTGTGCTTGTTGCACAGCAAATGTTCGATGAAATGCGTTTGACAAAATTTATCTGTAATATAAGTTACTCATACCTTTTTCATTAAACATATAAATAATCAAACTTATTTCCTATGTTGCATGTCAACAGAAGAATCATGGAGGTGAACAAGGAACAACATGAGGATATGACCGACTATGATATGGAATATGAGCAACATGATGGAACCATAGTTTATGATTCATACATAGAAGATGGTGAACATAAGGACATTGACTACAATAGCCATTCAGATTCTGAAGAAGAATTCCAAAGCACAGTTCCTACAAGGTCAAATAGAAAGAGGGGCATGACTTGATTGCCAAAGCTGAAGACCGAGTATGTCAATTCGGGTGGTAGAAAAAAAACGTGTCAAGTTTGATGAATTCGGTAACTTTATAGGGAAGAATAGTGCATTGTTTGTTAGTTATTTGGGAGATCTGGTCTGCGAGAAGGTGGGATTAAGTGCTCTTTGTTGGAAGAAAGTAAAACCGGAAGTGAAGGACAAACTTTGGGAAGAGATTACAGTAAATATTTTTTTCATTTTTTTAACTGCATCTCATATTGTATTTACAAATCAAGTATTAAATTCTAACATATTCATTATTATTTCATTTTAGCACTTTTCCAAAGTTGATGAAACTGGAAAACAATTTGTGATGAATAGGCTTGGTATCCTACTATGGAACTTCATAAGGAAATTGTATGCAACTTACATCAAGCCACATCTAGGCAATCCCAAAAGAACTTGGAAAAATTCCTGTTCGTTATCATGCACTAATTACTGAAAAAGATGATTGGAACAAATTTGTGACATATACGCAATCTGAAGAGTTTAATGTTACAACTTTTTTCCAAAACTTTATTTATTTATCAAATACTACCAAAAAGAGCTTTACAAATCTTTTTTTTTTTGACAAGTTGTGTCACAAAGAACTACCAAAGCGCGAAAGATGTCAAAGTATGTTTACCGGATGGGACGAGGGGAGTATACTACTCTTAGGCAGAAGTTGGTAAGCTTTGTTTTTAGCTATACGATCCTATTATATTACCTTCATAACATTGTACTTAACAAAATTTTACTTTATATTGTTTACAATTTTTTATCAAGATTGAAGAGAAAGTGATTTCAAAGGAAGAAATTCCCCCCAAGGTCAATTATGTGGTGTAAAGGACGTGAAAGTAAAGGAGAATTTAAGGATGAAGATGTTAAACTCATGGCGTATAAACTAGTAACTTCAATAAACTTTTTTATTACTGTTATTGTAAAGATTTTAATCAATTTTATTAGGACAATAATTATTAATATTTTGTATGCTAGATGGAATAAGAAAAGCAGATAAAAGAAGGACAAGTAAATGTTGAACAAGACACGGATGCCATGACCTTAGTTTTGTCAAGGAAAATGGCGGATTTTTAAAGGGTGTCGGCACGGGGGTCACTTACAACAGATATTTCAATGTTCCTCGCAGCAAAGGATCATCTAACGAGGAAATTAAAGATCTGAAAGTTGCACTCCATAATGGAAAACTTGAGCTTCGGAAAAAAGATGTTGAACTCAAGGATTTGTCTATAAAGGTTAATGAACAAGATCAAACACTAAAGCTAGTTTTGGCTCATCTTAATGCAAAAGGAGTTGACTTTCCAAATCTATCTCATACAACTGTAAGTTATCTTATTAACAACATCAATTGTCAATGTTACTTGTAAATTGCATTTCTTATATACATTTTCCCTGTTTCTTTATATTTGCAAGGGTATTTCAAGTGAGAAGATTGTTGAAAGTAGTGAAACTCCTGTTACTCTCAAAACCAAGGAACCATTCAGTTGCAGATTTGGTTTCAACTGCTTTCTTGGTGGGTTTCGCAATTACCTAAATAATTTAAATTCCCAAGTGAAAAAAAACAGAAATTAGTAGCATATATATATATATATATATATATATATATATATATAATATATATATATATATATATATATATATATATATATGCTACTAATATTGTTTTTTTCACTTGGGACTTTAACTTATTTAGGTAATTGCAAAACCCAACAAGAAAGAAGTCTAAACCTAATCTGCAACTGAAACTCCCGATACATAATTGGTTTCCATGAGATATGCAACACTAGTATATACTAACTTTACAGTTTTCAATATTTTTAATTTATCTTTTATATTAAATATAAATTTACATATAT